ATCGATTATTAGTTCTTAATCGCATTTTCAACGATAAATGCCGGTTCGTTTGGTCATGATTTTCAAGAGTTTGTAAGTGTTTTTTTCTGCACATTTATTAACCATCCGCATTTTTTTCTCCTTGAATGTGCTTTATTTAAGTGTACTTTAAGGGAAAATTAAAAAGAACGCCGAAATTCGCCAGATGTAAAATGCACCTTCACCGCCAATTTTGAATCACCCTGTATTTACCTCATTTTTGGTCACTCGATCCCAGTCGAGCAGCAGAAACTCCAGGCTGATTCCATCTAGGGTTTGTCCATTGGCCGGCACGTCGAAAACGAAACTTTCATTGAAAACCGGCATCAGGGTTCGTTTCTTCACGTGGGTCTTCTTCTTGGCGATCCGCTGTCCGTTGTAGAGCAGGTAGATCTTCACGTAGGGATCAGCCAAGCCTGGAAGGGTTGAGCTTTAGCTGCAATTCGAGCAATGGATTGAAGCTCTCTACCTGTTACGTCCATTTTTGGTAAATTTCGGGCTTTGAGAATGACGACAGTCAGCCGGTTGGCTGCTGGTTGCCAGCAGAGGGACACAAGAAGTTCGCCTCGTCCTTGGGATCTTATCTGCAGTCGCCAGACATTATTGAGAATGGGAAAAACAACCATTTTTGGCCGGCTTACCTTCAAGCTTCTGGGCTGTATCTCACGGCATAGTGCCAGTTGCTGAGTCTCGATCTGAGCAATGTCTACGTTGCTCAGAGCGCAGAAGACTTCCCCGATAATATCGTCGCGGCTGTAGCGATCGAAGCTCAGAACGACAAAGTGCAACGTGATGCTGGGCAGCTGATTGAAGCTGATTCCGTAGAAGGTAAAGTCCTCATCGTACACAGGGTTGCGAGTCTTTCTCAAGACCCTGGTCTTGACCTGGAATAAGGCAGAAGTCGAAATGGTGTTTTAGATTTCTCATTGTCCCACCTTGTGTTGTTTGTCCGGAAGCAGCTGAAGCTTCACGTAAGGATCGCTTGATCCAGTGTTAGGATCCTTTGCCGGTAGATCCTTGCATCTCACCACTGAGACGATCAATGCGTTCTTATCGTGCTTGTACCTGCACAAAATCAGAATTTACTCTGTTGAATAATTTAGGGGATCACCTCCTAACAGATTTAACGGCAGCGGCGGTCATTTTCCCTAATGGAAACTAGGTGAAAACTTCCGCTTTTCAATTGGCTCACGTATTCGTCTGCCAGGAAGTTATCGCTTCGGCTGTTTTATGGATACCTCAATTTGAAGACCAGCTGTCCCAAGTAGGCAGCGCTTTGCTGCAGATTTTTCTCATTGGTCTCCTGCTCTTCTTTGGTGGGCGATTGGCGCTCGTTTTCGGTCGAGCAATTGTCCTTTGAAATCTGCCGGAATTTTTTTGAAGTTCCCTAATTGGTAAAGTTTGCACAGAGAGTGGATTACCTGATTTTCCGGTTTGGGTTCAAAGGGCTGATGGCTGGAGACGCCGCTTTCCAGAGGGCCCACGGTGCCAGTAGGACTGGGGGTATGAGGGGCAGATATCTGAAAGACCAATGAAAATATTTTTGGAAAAAAACCTAGAAATAACTATTAGGGTTTTGTCCATAATCGAAGCTGCAAAAAGTTGTCCAAACATTTTGCAAAGCGGTTAAGGAGGCGAGTGTTCCAATAAGATTTATCTTATAATTTTCCGCAGAAAATACCTGAAGATTGCCAGTCTTTTAAGTAAAACTAAAAAATAATGCGATTTTTGCTTAGAAAGAATTGAAATTGGATAGAGAATTGAAAACTCGATTCAGCCATAACAACGTGAGTGAAGAAATTGTAGTAGTTTTGACCGAGAAAGCGAAATTTCAATATCAGACATTTAGGTGCAAGATTATGCCAAAATTTCATGTTTTTCGTCCCGTTTTTGCTCATTTCTAGGAAGCAAAAGGTGCAAGAACGCTCATTTTTACATCATTCTAGAGAGAAATAAATGGCGTCTTTAGAGAGTGCGCCATCGATAAGGAAATGTTGGCAGTTTTCTCCAAAAAGTCTTGGTTTCACGAATTTTTAGTTTAGCGTTTTTTTTTGAGTGGCAAAATCGACTCAAACATGACGCTGCTTTTTTCGAAGTTTTTCAAGAACCACTTGAGCCACAGAGTTCATTTTGGCATCGTTGGATATAGAATTAAAAACTCGATTCAGTCATTATAACATGAGTGAAGAAATTCTAGTAGTTTTGACCCAGAAAGCGAAATTTCAATATCAGACATTCAGGTGCAAGATTATGCGAAAATTTCATGTTTTCCGTCCCGTTTTTGCTCATTTCTCGGAAGCAAAAGGTGCAAGAACGCTCATTTTTACATCATTTCAGAGAGAACTAAATGGCGTTTTAGAGAGTGATAAGGAAATGTTGCCAATTTTCTCAAAAAAGTCTTGGTTTCACGAAGTTTTAGATTTTTGTCCTTTTTTTTGAGTGGCAAAATCGACTCAAACACGACGCTGCTTTTTTTCAAAGTTTCTCAAGAACCATTTGAGCCACAGAGTTCGTTTTGACATGGTTGGATAGAGAATTAAAATCTCGATTCAGTCATTATAACATGAGTGAAGAAATTGTAAAAAACTAAAAAATAATGGCAAAAAAGTCTTGTTTTCACGAAGTTTTAGATTTTTGTCTTTTTTTTGAGTGGCAAAATCGACTCAAACACGACGCTGCTTTTTTTCGAAGTTTCTCAAGAACCATTTGAGCCACAGAGTTCGTTTTGACATGGTTGGATAGAGAATTAAAAACTCGATTCAGTCATTATAACATGAGTGAAGAAATTGTAAAAAACTAAAAAATAATGGCAAAAAAGTCTTGGTTTCACGAAGTTTTAGATTTTTGTCTTTTTTTTTTAGTGGCAAAATCGACTCAAACACGACGCTGCTTTTTTTCGAAGTTTCTCAAGAACCATTTGAGCCACAGAGTTCATTTTGGCATCGTTGGATAGAGAATTAAAAACTCGATTCAATCATTATAACTCGAGTGAAGAAATTCTAGTAGTTTTGACCCAGAAAGCGAAATTTCAATATCAGACATTCAGGTGCAAGATTATGCCAAAATTTCATGTTTTCCGTCCCGTTTTTGCTCATTTCTCGAAAGCAAAAGGTGCAAGAACGCTCATTTTTACATCATTTCAGAGAGAACTAAATGGCGTTTTTAGAGAGTGCGCCATCGATAAGGAAATATTGGCAGTTTTCTCAAAAAAGTCTTGTTTTCACGATGTTTTAGTTTTGCGTATTTTTTTTGAGAGGCAAAATCGACTCAAACATTACCCTGCTTTTTTCGAAGTTTCTCAAAAACCATTTGAGCCACCGAGTTCGTTTTGGCATCGTTGGATAGAGAATTGAAAACTCAATTCGGTCATTCAAACTAAAAATAATGCGATTTTTGCGTAGAAAGAATTGCTTAATACAACTTTGTTAAGACTGGAATGACCTGAAAATTTAAAGGAACTTTAAACATCTTCAGAGCGATGAGGGTGGCGAATTTTCCCATTAGTTTTTTTGTAAACTTTTGCTCTCTGGTCGTTTTTTTAAGATAGTCCTAAGTACTTTCGGTAAAAAACCGAATAACATTATTTGGTTTTTGTGCCACATTCGAAGCTACAATGGGTTTTCTAAAGTTCGCCACAAACCGATGAATGAGGCGAATTTTCTAGCGAGATTATTGTTGTCATTTTTGGCTGAAAAGACCCCATTATTGTCAAAATAATGCTTTTTTGCGTTTTGGATCAAAAACTTTTATTTTTGCGATCGGTTTTGGAGAAAACCTTAATGGTTTTCTGGAAAATTCTGAAACAATTGAGTCACCCAGGCCTACTGTAAAGTAAGCAATTGCCAAAACTTCGAGTATTTGAGCTTTTTTCGAGTTGCAAGACCGTTTTAAGACACTCCTTACTTACCCCAGGGGGCGTTTTGGAGATGCCGGTAGGGCTGGGGCTCTTCTTCAGGTAGTGGGTACCGGTTCCAGGACCGGCCCCTGCAGGAGACTTAACAGCTGTCGGCCTGCGATGGGAATGGAAAGCCAGAGGCTGGTCGGGGCCGTTTCTTTTGGCGCGTAGTCGCCTACGCCTCTGGTAGCAATAATACGTGCTGACCAATACCAAAACGCCAAACACCACACCTCCAATACACAGCCCGATGATTGGGTAGTTTACTGAAACAATACACGTGTGGTTCGGTCTTTAGAACTTGAGGCGCCGTTTTAAGACTGGTGCTGCGCTGAGCAAACCACCTCTGAAGATGCACGCGACTTGTGCCTGCGAAACATCAGGGAGAAACTCCTTGCCCCGAAAAGGCCACTAGTTTCAAGCAATGGCTGCGAAAGCTTAACTCTAGATTTACATAATTCTAAAATGGCATGCATCATTAAAATCAGAATGTGCATACTTTCCTGACTGTGTTTCAATTCCAATTCAAAATTAATTCTTGGGTTTCAGTCATTTATTGTTTTTATTTATCAATTAAAATACGTTTTGGTGTATTTTTCCACCATCATCAGTTTTTCTAAAATAACATAGTTTAAAAAAAAATTCATTAATTTAAAAAACA